GGTACTGGGCTCACGAAGCATGCACTGACAACAATCCGTTTTTTGTATGTCAGAATTGCGATTCTGATGATGATTTGTGAACTTGTGAAGCATGTCATAATTAACCCCAGCAGTGTCACAAGCAACCCCAAGTTGGAGTTAGTTGTGACAGTTGAACCTACTTACATTATTCATTAATAGCGTTGTTTATATTACTCTTAAGTTTAATGCTTTTGTGTTTTTATGTTTGAGAAGCATCATAAAATAAATGGTAATTAAAGAAAAACATGTAACTTAATTTACAAAAAGTAGAAAAAAAAATTAACAAAAACTGGCACAACCAACCTTGGTCTCCCCTATCTCTGTTTCCAAAGTTTAAAGTTTTTGATGATTGACCCACTTGTTACCGGTAGGTACGATTTAACTAAATATCTTAACATTTACAAAATTATAATAAATATATTTCAAAAGAATATATATATCGTAGGATCACAATATAATTTTCCTTATAGATATCACCGTTTATATACAAGGTATACAGAGAAATTCTAATTGTTAACGAGGGTAAATTGAGAAAATTCTAGCTATTCAGTAAAGCTATACGTCCAAATAAAAAAAAATGCGTAAAAATAAGTAAGTCTTCATGATTAAGTATTTCAACTACTAGAATATAATGATTTGTGCTAAATATACCCTATAGAAGTCTTACCGTAGTTGTAATGGGGCCTTCGATGAATATGCCTGTTCACAGGAGTACTTGAGTAAGTTCTATAGCAATTGTTTATTATCATTTTAAACCCAATGACTGGAAGAGTTTCAGTCTTGAACAACACTTATTAGTAATAATAATCTAACTTGCTGAGAAAAAAAAACTGTAAAGAAATTTACAAATTGCAGATATAACCCTATTCATAATATGAATATTATACTTCCTGTTCTATAGATCAGTTCATTTATTCACTCCTCAGTTTCATGTTAATTGTTATTTAAGACATGAGACAGATATTTCATTACCTGAGAGAAGGAGATAGATAGTAGGTCTCATTACATCTTTTGTAATACATTTCTGGGTTATTCCATTATTTATTTCATGAACTTAAATTGCACAAGAATGATTGTCACATATCAGTTGTCATCTTAATAAAAAAAGTAAACAATACAAATTTTACTACTTCTAATTAAAAAAGTTAATTTCTAATGTATCTAGGTTATTAAAATACCGTTATTACGTTTTACTTCTGTATTCCTTTCTTAATTTTAGGAGAATCATCCCAGATGCAGAGAAAATCAACATACTTCTACCAGAATTAAAAAGGAGGAAGTAAAAAGGATAATAAAAATTCAACTGATACCAAAGTTTAAGTAAGATAAATCTACCTACATGAACATTCTCTTCTCTTATATCTATTTATGGATATTAAACTATATTATTTTTACTATTAAAAGTTTAAAAACGGTCCTGGGTACATATTATTTTCTTATAATTATAATATAGATTGATTGATTTGCACTTTAATCCTGTAACATACTATGGCACTAGGTCAGAGTCCAAAACTCCCAGGTGTGATCTAAGTAAGCACCATCGGACCATGAGGATTTCCCCTTCTAAAAGAAAAGGTTATAGTTTATAGATAGGTCCAAAGAAATTATGGCATAGTGGGTTAAGGAGTTTGTATACTAACTCAATATGAGGAGTATAGTAAAGGTTTACGACTCTAGAGCCATACTGGGAAATTCTCTTTAGTTTTTTTTTCTAAATAATAACAAGTCATTACTAGATTAAATTGATAACTATTTTATCATGTTTTTAGGGATAATCGGGAAAATATTTTACCTCCTACTGAGTGTAGCAAAAGACAGAGCATAGAAGAGATTTACCTTTCAATCAAGTCATTATCTCCCAATAAGTAATTCACAATACAGATTATTAATATGCACATAGATTGACAAAATTAATCATAGATATGTAAATCGTTCTATATTAAAAAAATAATGACAAATTTATTTTTTTTAAACAGCCGGGTTAAAAAATTAAGGTTTTTCTACCGACACTGTTTCAGAAGCTATTCAATTTGTAAAAAAAGAAATTTGTAAAAGATTCTAAATTCTGTGAATGGCATGCCAAAAATAAAAAGAAAAATGACGGGAAAAATAGGATCGAAGTGCTCTCCTCTGTGAAATCTACGTATTGTTCTTTTTTAATGGTATGTCTTGAAGGACAATAAACAGAAGTGACCATAACCTCAGAAGTTTTATATTTTATCATTATTGAAGTAGCCTGAAATTCTTCAGTCCTGTATTCCGCTTCTTGATAATGCTTAATTGCTTCTCTAATTATTACTGTGATACCCCCTCTTGCTGTATTTCGGGGATGAATGATTTGATTTTGATATGTCAAGTAGAACAAATATATGATTTTTTTGTTAGTAATGTTTTCTTGTGCAAATGTGGGAAAAATGTTTGGGGTGGTACATTTCATAATGCCGTTTTTCTATAGGTAGGTATACTGTATTTTTCCAAACAACAAAATATACGATTTTTGATCACTTTAATTTTTTATTATATTTTGCTCGAAAAATACTGGTTTTCTATATTTTTTTGTAAAAATTTACTATAGAAACTAGTTATTTTTGTATGCTGACAAATTTTTTGCAAAACTCTCATCTGAACTCAACAACGAACAATTTACTCATGTTCCAAAAAATAAAAAATTGAGGTTAGAAAAAAATGGTTATATTTTGACAAAATCCGCACTTTTTTGTAAAGAATTAGTCTCTACCATATTCAAAATGGTTCTATTTTTTTTCTAAATCTAGTTATAAATCCCAAAACGGAACTAAATCCTACACTAAACAACAATAATTTTTACCCCTATTTATAAAGTAAAAATGATTATTAATCAAATATATTCTATTCATATCATAAAAGAGTCTATTATGTTCACAATATATAACTATCGCTTAATTTTTGTGAAAATAAATTATTACCCAGATAACAATTATTCATTATTAGCATATTCTTAGTATACACTTTTTAAGAATACGCATATGCTGATAATATACTTTATTTGTATTCAGTACATTCTCAGAATATACTAAGCATAGATTACGTGACGTTCTTTATACGTGCTATGCATATACTTCAAATATGTGTACAGTATGCAATAAGAATCTAATTTAATTTGATAATACGTTCTAAGTATATGCATAAAACTGTACGTACTTCTTTCTCGGTTCGTTCTGGGGCATATTTGAATTATTTTCTGTCCTGAAACTAAAAGACTTTGGTCTGATTACTTGGTTCCTGGGTATTCTACAGTTAGTCCAAAAAGTCTTCGTACACTACCTGCTTTATATAGAATTTTTCTGTTGCATTTAATTTATTAATTGAAACTACAAGAGAATACGCTCTTTTCAATAACTGAAGCATAAGTAACGATTATAAGTTATAATTACAATAAAAATCTATGCAAAATTTATGTCAAAAAAGTCTCCGTACACTCATAATTTTCATTGAAAAAAGCACATTATAATTAGCTGCATTTCATCAAGGCACCTATGGCTCGCCAGCCTAAAAACAAATGAATAATTATCGACCATAATTTATTATTTCTCATTTGTTGTTGGTAGATTTGCAGTGACGTTTCAAATTAGCATTAAAAATGAGCGAAAGAAATCGTGAAATTGCAATTTCACTTCGAAAGTTGATAGTTGATTTATGGAAAGAAAAAAAATTCCTTAGAAATATTGGAAAAATTGTAAGAAGCCGTATACTACCGTTCAGTACATTATAAACCAGTATAAATTAACGGGTTCCTACAAGATTCGACCACGTTCTGTTTGTCCCAAGAAACTGACTCCGCGTGAAGAAGCTAGTATTGTTAGGCAAAAAATGATAAATCCCAAAAAAAGTGCACCAAAACTAAAAGAAGGAATACGAGAGCTATGTTCAAAAAATGTTTGCCCACAAACGGTGAGAAATTGTATACACAGAGCAGGCTATAAGGGGTGTACTGCCAGAAAGAAGCCGTTAATTTCGGAAGTTAATCGAAAAAAACGTTTAGCTTTTGCTACAGAATACGTTAATAAGCCTTTGGGAATCTGTAATATTTAGTGACGAAACTAAAATTAACCTTTTTAGATCTAATGGTAGAGCTAAAGTTTGGAGAAAGAAGAATACCGCTTTTGATATCAAAAAACTCTGTTCCACGGTAAGACACGGGGGTGTTCTGCTATGGGGATGCATGTCCGCTAGAAGTGTTGGAAATTTCATTAATGGGAACATGGATCAGCATGTCTATATGAACATTTTGCGAGACAATTTAGCAGAAAGTGTGCAGATATTAGCGCTCGAAGGAAGATACATTTTCCAACAGGACAATGATCCAAAGCATACTGCAAACTTGGTGCGAGAATGGATGATCCATAACGTGCGACAGCAACTTCACACACCCCCGCAATCACCTGATGTTAACCCCATTGAACATTTATGGGAGAAACTTAAACGGCGCGTTCGCAAACATAACGTTTCAAGTAAGGAAGAGTTAAAAAACAGAGTATTGCACGAATGGGAGAACGTTCCAGCAAAACTTACTAGAAAGTTGGTTTCAAGTATGACAAGAAGGTTACAAGCGATTATCAAGACCATGGGCGGTCCAACTAAATATTAGTTTTTACATTTGTTTCCTATCTGTTAAATTATGATTAGAAACTGTTAAGTGTACGGAGACTTTTTTGGCATTATTTTTGTATAGATGTTTATATTATTGATGTAATTTTTAAATAAGGATTCGTTTTTGCAATTATTACTAATAATCATTAAAAATATGTTTCAATTATCAATAAAAATATGTTCTCATAGAGTTTTGATTAATTAATTGAATAGAACAAAAAAGTTCGATGTAAAGCAGGTAGTGTACGGAGACTGTTTGGACTAACTGTATATCTTGTTTATTAATACAGTTTATTCTTCGATATGGAGTTACGAAGAAACTTTTTAGGGTTGTAATAAATACAAAAATGTTTTAAATACATATCTATTTATTCAATAAAACAGAATAATGCAAAATTATTACAAATATTTCGTTATTATCTTAATACTAATCCAACCAATTTCTATACTCCTCTACCGGCCTATCCTGTGAAAGTCTTCTGCACTTCATATAACGAAATCAACAACAACAACAAAAACAACATTATAGTCGTGCTTCAGACTTTTATACCAATTATACTGAAAATAATTTGTGCAACAATGTTAATTATATAAACGAGGATTTGACTGAAGTTGCTTGGAATTATCAAAAATGTACAGAACTTTTAAGTCCCAGATGTTCAACTGAAAACGATATGTTTGTCACAACTCCTTGGAATTATGAAAAATATGCACAAGACTGCAATGCAAAATTTGGAGTTAAAAATGTTCGACCGGATTGGGCTACATTGGCTTATGGAGGAAAAAATTTAAAATATTATTCCAATATAGTTTTTAGTAATGGAGACATGGAATCATGGCTAACTGCTTTCGTTGTAAACAATATATCTGATTCTGTATTTTCTATTAATATTCCTAAAACTCCAAACCAAGTGGATTTAAAAAAAATGTAATCCGGCCGACAATAACTATGTTACGGAAACAAGAAAATTATATATTCGCATCATCATGCAATAGTTAGACGGTAAAAACTAAAAATTATATTTTTGTTTCTGATATATTTGGGTTGTGTTTTAATGATTTGTAAATCTTTCCACGCTTATTTATGCTGTCTTTAGTAGGAACTAGTTTTATTATTTTTTGTTTAAATTAATATTATTTAATAAATTACAAGTGCTATTATTTTATATTGGTTCTTAATGCATTATGTAATTTTTTTATCTAACAATGTTTATTTATAATAAAGAAGAAACAAATAATAATAACTAATTTTTATAAGAGCTGATCTTTTCACCTCTGAGTAAAGTTACACGTAGGTTTATTTGACAGAATAACAATAATATAATAACCTACATAATGATTAAAAAGAAAACCTAACCTAACCTAACCTACATAATGATTAAAAAAAAAAAGATAAAATATCAATATAGTTAATGATTCATTTAATAATATTAATGCAAACAAAAAATATTAAAAAAGCACAAACAAGCTCCGAAAGCTTCAAACACCCGAAAAACTATTTTCATTAAAATAAAAATTAAAAAAGCACCTGCAATCCAAGAATATCAAAAATATACAAATAAAATATAAATGCTACAAAATTATAGGATTTTCACAAAAATGTATGGTATAATCAAGAAATAATTTTATTAGTACTAATGATTAAATTTATTATATAGTATTTAATTGTTGTCCATCAATACATATGTTGATAGATCATATAAATAGTTCATTATTTGATTCATGTAATAATTGACAATAATAATTATAAAAGTTTCAAGAAAAACTAATAAAAAAATCTATTAAATTTGTTTATATATAATTTTGTTTCATTTTTCCAAGAAACTCCACAGTTTAATATTCAAGGAATATGTAATAAATATTGACGTAATTTGCCCATACTTCTCAAAAACGTTCATAATTATCTGATAATAGTCTTCACAAGTCGTGAGTCCGGGAAAGTAAAAAATAGGTGCAGACGCAGTAAGGGCTCCCTTAACTGAAAATGGATATTTCATACGTAACCAGCATAGCATCTCCTCCAAAGGCAATTAAGGGCTCAATCTTGAAATTTATAACATTTTCAAAGAGTTTCCCTTTTAAATCATCAATAAGAAACGAACAATCTGCTAACGCTTGTGTTGTGCTTAGATATATTGAATTTTCGGTAGTTGAGAATGTTCCGTTTCCTGAAAACGTAAAATAAAATTTTAATTTTATACTCTGCCACAAGACGGAAGTAAACTGTGCGCAAAAATAATCCTTTTACGTAAACGCCAAATCTAAAGAACCAGCGCAAATGCTCAAGTTCGTTTATGTCTTCTATTGTGGGTGAAAAAAGCGCACATCTGTTATAAACGGACAAAGTAATATACAATGTTTTTAAATATTTTGACGCAACAAAAAAGGAAGGAGTTACTTTAGATGATATCAAACTTCAAACTGCACAAGCAACAGGTAAACATTCTGTAGTTTATTTGCAATTAAACTTGCGTAGTTTTCCATATTTTACACACATATCTATACAATTTATTTGTGATTAATATTTTATATTTAATTTTTTTAAATTTATCTTCTGTTTCTAAAGATTTTTGTTTCCTAATAAATGTAAAAAAATACTAAGTTCAACATATATTATTACGTTTTTACAATGAAAACATCTGGAAAAATTACATTTTCCTCATCTAGGAAAAACTTCGTCAAAAAAGCAACCGCTACGAATCTCCCTGAATATAAATTGAGGGACATTCAAAGAATAATTTACGATTTTTATATAACAGAAAAGTCTTGTGTTGCTGTTAAAAGGTTAAATAATAAAATTAAGGAAGATTTAGATATCCACATATCAGAAACTTCATTAAGAAGAGTCCTTAAAAAATTACAATTTAAGTGGAGAAAAACACAAAATAATCGTAAAGTTTTAGTGGAAAAAATGAAAATATGAACTTTAAGAGTAAAATATTTCAGAAAGATAAAATATTTAAGAAGTCAAAATAGACCAATCGTTTATTTAGATGAAACATATATACACAGCGGACATACTTGTTCCAAGAATTGGACAGACGATTTAACAAAAGGTTTATTTTCTGTTATTTCTAAAAACTAAAGGCTTTTTATAGTTCACGGTGGGGCAGAAATGGGTTTTATCAAAAATAGTTTGTTGATATTCAAATCAGGGACCAAGTCTGGAGATTATCATTCCGAAATAAGAGAGAAGTTAATACCTAAGCTTCCACCTTATTCAGTAATTATTTGTGATAATGCTAGTTATTACAATGTACAGACAAATCGAGCACCTAATTCCAATTATTTGAAGAATGATATGATCGAATGAGTGACAAAATACAACGTACGTTTAAATCCAACAAGTTTGAAGAGTTATATAAACTGGTTAAATTTCATAAGGACCGACATGTAACATATGCATTTGATGAGTTGTGTCGAAAATACGGCTACCGCTTTACGGTTACCCCCATATCACCCCGACTTGAACCCTGTCGAATTGATTTGGGCAACTGTTAAAAATAATGTCAGTCAAAGGAATGTTACCTTTAAATTAGAAGACGTAAAACAATTAGCAGAAGAAGAATTTAACAAAATCGGTATGAAGGGATGGAAAAAGCGATGCGATCATGTTATAAAGGTAGAAGATAAATGTTAAAGATTTATGTTAGGAAATTAATCCTATCGTCATTAATCCTAATAAAGATTCCAGTGACGACAGTGACGAGTCTTCTTCCAAGGAAGAATCTGACGAAGACATATGAACATTAATTATTTGTGATTTACTGTTTACGTTGTTTGTATTTACTTATAGGCTATATAATATAAAATTAAACATTTTTTTGTTTTTCTTAAATTTACGTAAAATCAGAAGTTATTTGGACTATCCAGTTTTGAAATGAAGACCCGGTATAAAAAATCGAAAGAATATATTACTTCATACACATATTATTTTATATTTTGTTTATAAAAAAATTAATGTCAGTAAAAATACAAAATACTAGACCACCACAGCTCTCCTTAACCTAAAGTCGGCTTACCTAAAAATTATGAATTTAATTGACTATAGAATTATGTACTAAAAATAACACTAAGCAATATATATGAACAAGCATCATTTACTATTTTCCATTTATTTGTTGTCTTAAAATATACGCGCCCCTGGTTTACAACTTTCTAGGTAAGCTATAGTTCTTCCATTATCAATTGCAGAACATAAAAACTCGTTCGGAACCTTTACCGACAATTTTGTTTGATCTGCCATAGGCGTAGATACCTACCTCATTTTATAAATTTATTTTATAAATACTTTTAATATATATCATATGCAAGAAAGTATTCGTTAAAAGGAAATTGAATCATTATAAATTGGACGCTATTATACGCCTTGGTTTAGACAGATGCACTTAATTGTAGTCTTACTTGGACTTAAAAAAAATCATTATAGCTCGTTAACTTGCTACAACTGAATATTAAATTATAAAACGTAAAAAAGCGAGTAAAGTGTACCTGCCTGTAAGGGCGTTTGGTTTAAACAGGGTACCAGACGTGAACTGAGCCGTTTTTGTACCCCATTCGTTTTTTTTCTGGAAAACGAAATTTAAAAGCAAAAACCATAAAGGAAAATAAATTCTTTGCAAATAAAACAAAAGAAAAAAAACAATTCAATTCTGAAGTATCTTTATAAATAATCATGGCAGTCTGAATCCTTTGAACTAGAGTCATCATTTGGTTGAATTATGATGGGTTGTAAAGAGGGTAATACTACATACTCATCTTCTTCTTTAATAACATGTTCGACGTAGTTTTTTTCCAAAGCTCTTGGCGGTCTGCTGCTAGAACTTTCTTTACGAGTTCTACAACTTCTTTACTCAGTTCTGGAGACTGATTACATTTTCGTAATTCTGATTTTACGTTTGCCCATATTAACTCTATAGGGTTAAATATGCAATAGTAAGGAGGTAGTCTGAGAAAAGTATGACCCTGTTCTTTGCACAGCTTGTCAATATAATAATGTTTTTCCAACTTCATGCCTTTAATAACAGTAAGCAATTCTGTGTTTGCTGGGCCTTTTTTACGATCACTGGCAGGAATAGGAATATTTTTTTCAGACATAAACGCTAAAATTTGAGCTTTGTTACTGCTACTATTTGGTATTTTAAGGAGTTGCCGTAAGTGGTAGGATGCACTGTCCATAACGATTACTGACTGGTGGAATGTTAGGTAAGAGCTGTTCATTAAACCATTTTTCAAATAATTCTGCTGTCATATCTTCATGATAATCAGCTGCATAGTTTTTAGTTTGTTTAACAGATAATAATAAAGCATTAGGCACGAAACCGTCTTTGCTTCCAGCGTGTACTATTATAATACGTTTCCCTTTAGAACATGGCCCATTCAAACAGCAATTTTTACTACTGTCAACCCAACCGAAATTTACTACATCGTGACTGTCAAACCATGTTTCATCTAGATAAATTATGTATCTATTAGAACTTCTGTACTCTTTTATCTGACGCAAATAATCTTGTCGCCATTGAACTATCCTTGACGATTCGGTGATTGCCATCCGTTAATTCATTTTTTTGTGTTTAAAACCACATGCTGACAAAACTTAACGCAATGTTTCCAAACTGGTATAAGTGTATCCTGGAAAATCTGCTACCTTTTGCTGTACTACTTCCAATGTTGGAACCCTGTTCTCCTTATATAAACTATAAATTTTCCTTCGTATAAAATCTTGGGTAGCTCTGTCAACTGATTTCAGTTTTTCTTTACATGTTTTTCGGTTTTGTGAATGATCCACAGCAACTCCTTTTGTGACTACCCGATAAATGGAAAATTTATTTGCTTTAGTTAATTCAGCAATTCTTATTATGATCGCATTATCAGACTGCTGAATATTTTCCTTTTTTAAACATTCGAATATATTTAAAATAACTTGTTGTGTTTGTATATCTAAATCCATATTGTTAAAGTCATACCTGTCTTTAATCTCACTACATTGTGCAATTTCATTTTGTTCATTCGCCCACGGTATAAAGAACGTCATATTTATATTTATTAAAAGAAATTTAAATTAAATCAACCACACATACAAAACACACCGCACGACAGTACTTCACTGATATCGCAGACTGTCTTCCAGGAATATTTTCAAACACTCCTCCCCTTCGTAAACCTTCGGCCAATACAGTGCATTTAAGTTTACGATTCGATGTTTTCATTGGTAAACAACTGATAGTTCGTTTAATATTTACCGCTTTGTATAAGGGGAGTAAACATTATTTTTCGTTTCTAAATTTGGCATGAGTACCGTGGGTATATATTAAATATTGATGATTCCCCACATACCTGTGTTCTGCAATTGATATTGGAAAGACTTTACCAATAATTCTATTCATCGGTAGGCGTGTTCGTAGCATTATAAATGCGCGTCCTTGGTTCTTTAGATTTGGCGTTTACTGCCTGTATTTTTAAAAGGGTCTATAATCTTTACTTGTAAATTGGGCGCTGGACTTTCTTTAACTACCTGCCTGCATGAGATAATTAATACTGAATATATTCTAAACTAAATCCCAAAATTATATATTCTTTACTGGCCCAGTCAATTAGATTTATAATTTAGAGTATTTATACTATGGATAGCGTATAGGTGGAATATCTCAGTGTCAGTCATTAAAAGTGAACGTGGGAGTGATTTAATTTTATATGAAAATTTTACATTTTCAAAAGACCAAGTTTTAAAAAGTGGTGAGACATCATGGAGATGTAGCAAAAAAAAAACTTTATTGTACAGCCAAACTTTACACTGTTGGACAGAGCACCTAATTTCAAGAAAATATGATAATAATAATATAATAATAATAATGTTTATTCAAAAAAGAAATATAAATTACAATTACATAGTTAATTTAAATATAAACATTGGTAACTTGCTGAGGCATTGTAATGCCTGTGTGCGAGCTAGGATATTTTAAATTTATTTTTTAAATACAAATAAAATTCTATATAGAATAATAAATAAATAGATAAATTCATGATAAACAAATAATGAAACAAGTAACAAAGCATATAACATAAAACAAGTAATAAAACAAATAATAGAACATAATAAGCAAACAGTAGAACAAATAGTAACAGGGAGATAAAATATAAACATATTTGATATTTAATTCATAATGAA